TGACGAGGGGCGTTAAGGGGTATCTGCACGGAAGAACGCGAAATAAAATTGCCATTTCACGAAGAACGAACAATTAAAAATTTCATGCATGTTGATCTTTTTACCGATTTCACGAAACACGGCGAATAACGAACCTTTTTCACGGCTGCACGTTAAATAAAAATGGCAAAACACGTTGCACGAAAATAACCCTTTACCACCCTCTTTGACATCGCGAAAAATAACATATTACGTTAGCAACGTCATTACCTCCCTGTAACTGTATCGTATGTCCTTAAATTTGGCCTATTACATTCGGAGGTGAAGATTTTTGTAAAAGTTGACGACGACAGACGCAATGTGATGGGAAAATCTCACTTGGCCCTGTGGGCCAGGTGAGCTAAAAAAAGTAAATTTTGCAGAACACACAATGTATTTTTTTTAAAGAAAGATTTTTTTTAATTATCCACTATTAGAATACAATCATAGCAATTGAGCTGATTCAGAGTAGTTCTTTTAGCTAGGGAAGACCATTTTATATTCTGTGATGGGGATAAGAGATGCTTAATGAAATGAATGTGATGGTGTCTAGAACTGAAGATCAATAATATTGCCCAAGACATGCTGAAAAGGAATTTTCTGTACATTCAGATGCACATCAGCCACATACGATTTGAAATAGGAAATAGGTGATTACACAATGAAAATCGTTTTTTTTTTCGACGGAAAAAAGAATGAAATGAGTAACCCAGCCTTATAACGTGTGAACATTATTGTTTTGTCTATGCAAAACCTCTTGCCCATAAGCCCAACCCCAACCAAAGAAATAAATTGGTCGTCCTCTTAGCAGTTCTGTTCCTTTTGTCTTGTTCTTGTAGATCCAAAGAACCAATCTTAAAAATAACCTTTGGTGTCTGGTGGAGAGTTGTCTCATTGGCAATCACACCACATCTTTTAATTTTTGTTTTTGAATTTGAAATCAATCCCTAGAAATTGAATTTGCCATATGATTTACTATTCTGTATTATACATGTGTTCTTAAAGAAAACTGCATGTTTAATATTCTTTTATTTCTGTTTTTTGTCCCAAAGAAACCGAAAATACTTTGTTGCTAGGCAGTTTTCCAATATTAATAAATGTTTGCTAGGCACTTTGCCGATATAAATGAATGGTTGCTAGGCTTTTTTCCAATATAAATGAATGCTTGCTTAAAACGTATGTGATGAAATCCACCCTTGGCCTTTTAGTTAATGTCTATGTAATAGTTTATATAGTCCTGAATCAAAACATTTATGGTTACTTGGTACTTTTTATACGACCGCAAAAAAATTTTGTGGTCGTATATTGGTATGACGTTGGCGTCGTCGTCGTCGTCGTCGTCGTCGTCGTCGTCCGTCGTCGTCGTCCGGCGTCGTCGTCCGAATACATATTGGTTTTCGCACTCTAACTTTAGTTTAAGTGAATGGATCTTTTTGAAATTTGACCATAAGGTTAAATACCACAAAAGGAAGGTTGGGATTGATTTTGGGGGTTATGGTACCAACAGTTAAGGAATTAGGGGCCAAAAATTAGCATTTTCTAGTTTCCAGACAATAACTGTGGAACGGTGTATGGATCTCTCTGAAATTATACTACAAGTTTCCATACCACAAAGGGATGGTTAGGATTTGCTTTGGGGGTTATGGCTCAAACTGTTTAGGAATTAGGGGCAAAAAAGGGGGAAAAACAAGGTTGTCCTGGTTAATGGACAAATACTTTAGTACAAAACATAATTTAAAGCAGTGTAAGGGAGATAAATCAAATACATCATTGAAATTATCTCCCTTACACTGCTTTTAAATTATGTATAAAGTAATGGTTAATGAACAATAAAGATAATCTAAAACAGTGTAAGGGAGGTAATCCAAATACAACGTTTTGGTTACTTCCCTTACACTGCTTTTAAATTATGTTTTAAGAAATGCATATTTATAAAGGAAGACCAGTAAAAATATCTGCAAATGTTTTCATCTTTTTTTTTTACAAAAAAATCCATATGAAAGATTTGACACTATATTTTTATTAATTCTATTATAAAATAGATTAAGTTAGCACTATGGTAAATTTAAATGGGTAATTATGGTTGCCAACTCCATTGGAAATTTGAATTGAGATTATGACCATATCTTGAGGGAAAGAATTTTTTGGGGGGAAAAAGGGGGGGGGGATAAAAAGAAATTGTGGGGGGCCAATTTTTTCTCATTTCAGATTTCAGAAATTAAAAAGAATTATTCTTCAAATATTATTTTTTTTTCAAATGTCAAATATTGAAAAATTTCAAGAAGTAATCTTTAATTGCACAGTATGGTGCATTAGATTTGTAAAATCTTTGATCACATTTATTTATTTGTTATGCCGAATCTAACAGTGTATTTAGATTTTTAATTTTGGGTCCAGTTTTCAAATTGGTCTACATTAATGTCCAAAGGGTCCAAAATTAAACTTTGTTTGATTTTAGTAAAAATTGAATATATGAGGTTCTTTGATATGCTGAATCTAATCATGTATTTAGATTTTTGATTTTTGGCCCAGTTTTCAAGTTGGTCCAAATTGGGGTCCAAAATTAAACTTTGTTTGATTTCAACAAAAATTGAATATATGGGGTTCTTTGATATGCTGAATCTAACCATGTATTTAGATTTTTTATTTGTGGACCCCGTTATCTAATTGGTTCATATTGAGGTCAAAAGGGTCCAAAATTAAACTTTGTTTGATTTCATCTAAAATTGAATTATTGGGGTTCTTTGATATTCCAAATCTAACCGTGTATTTAGGTTTTTAATTTTGGGTCCTGTTTTTTAAATTGGTCTACATTGAGGTCCAAAGGGTCCAAAATTAAACTTAGTTTGATTTTAACAAAAATTGAATTCTTGGGGTTCTTTGATTTGCTGAATCTAAACATGTGTTTAGATATTTGATTATGGGCCCAGTTTTCAAGTTGGTCCAAGATAGGGTCCAGTATTTAAACTTTGTTTGATTTCAACAAAAATTGAATATATGGGGTTCTTTGATATGCTGAATCTAAACATGTATTTAGATTTTTGATTATGGGCCCAGTTTTCAAGTTGGTCCAAATTGGGGTCCAAAATTAAACTTTGTTTGATTTCAACAAAAATTGAATATATGAGGTTCTTTGATATGCTGAATCTAACCATGTATTTAGATTTTTTATTTGTAGGCCCCGCTATCAAATTGGTTCATATTGAGGTCAAAAGGGTCCAAAATTAAACTTTGTTTGATTTCATCGAAAATTGAATTATTGGGGTTCTTTGATATGCCAAATCTAACCGTGTTTTTAGATTTTTAATTTGGGTCCCGTTTTTTAAATTGGTCTTCATTGAGGTCCAAAGGGTCCAAAATTAAACTTAGTTTGATTTTAACAAAAATTGAATTCTTGGGGTTCTTTGATATGCTGAATCTAAACATGTGTTTAGATTTTTGATTATGGGCCCAGTTTTCAAGTTGGTCCAAGTTGGGGTCCAAAATTAAACTTTTTTTTATTTCAACAAAAATTGAATATATGGGGTTCTTTGATATGCTGAATCTAACCATGAATTTAGAATTTTTATTTGTGGGCCCCGCTATCAAATTTGTTCATATTGAGGTCAAAAGGGTCCAAAATTAAACTTTGTTTGATTTCATCAAAAATTGAATTATTGGGGTTCTTTGATATTCCAAATCTAACCGTGTATTTAGATTTTTAATTTTAAGTCCCGTTTTTTAAATTGGTCTACATTAAGGTCCAAAGGGTCCAAAATTAAACTTAGTTTGATTTTAGCAAAAATTGAATTCTTGGCGTTCTTTGATATGCTGAATCTAAACATGTGTTTAGATTTTTGATTATGGGCCCAGTTTTCAAGTTTGTCCAAGTTGGGGTCCAAAATTAAACTTTGTTTGATTTTAACAAAAATTGAATATATGGGGTTCTTTGATATGCTGAATCTAACCATGTATTTTGATTTTGGACATTGGACCATAATAGGTAAATTAAAAAAATTCAAGTTCTTAGACCACATTCTTTCTGTGTCAGAAACCTATGCTGTGTCAAATATTTAATAACAATCCAAATTCAGAGCTGTATCAAGCTTGAATGTTGTGTCCATACTTGCCCCAACTGTTCAGGGTTCGACCTCTGCGGTCGTATCAAGCTGCGCCCCAGCGAAGCATTTTATTTTATATCAAATAAGGGAGGTTGCTAAGCACTTTTGACATGACCTTGACTTCTTACTGTTGATCTGTTAACAAAATAGTGGCTTTAAACGTCCGGAACATTTCCCCCTTGTATTTTATGCTTCTTTCTATTATCTTTTCTTACAAAATTCAATTAATAAACACAAATAACCATAAATTTGACCCAAGGTCAAAAGTCATTGATGACCTTGACCTTTGGTCAAATTTATGGTTATTTATTTGCCAATAGTTTGCACATCATAGTCATTCAATAGTTATTACTTTTTGGGGATTATCTTAATAACATCGTTAAATTTCAGAGGTAAAAAGGTAAAAAATGACACATTTTGGTTTCCATAGCAACCATCCTAGCACCCTAAATCCCAAACATTTTGTTATAATTTATTGACTAGAAACATTGATACTTTTATTTATAACCACAGCTTAAATGGAGGTGGATGCAAAAATGTATATTTTGTTCATGCAAAATGTGTACAATTTGCCTCTAGAAATATTATGAAAAATGACCTCCACTCCTGCGGTTGCGACAATATTCAGCAAAAATATTGTTATATATGACATCGCTGTTTTGTTTTTGAGTATCATGTTTCTGAAACATATTGTTAAATATCATTAAATAAAATCTGGTTTTGATTCCGAATGACTGCAAAGTAGTTGTTTTTTTCAATGCTAAATTCCCTGAAATGTACCGGAAAAATCATTGACTTTAATTTCAAAGATTTACATTTAATTTTAAGGTCTATAGGCAAGATCACATTAAGAACAGTTAACTATTATATTTGTATACTTACTTATCAAACAAATAGTGACAATTACAGGCAGATTGAGTTTCAGAGCACTGCAACCCATTCCTAAAACAAATTCAAATTCATTTTAAGTTATTTTATTTCTCACATTTTAAATTTCTATGATGAAAAGCACCAATAACAAGCGAACATTTTCTCGCTTATATTTCTTTTTTTTTTTTCTGCCTCATTTTTTGTTTTGCAGTTAAATGATTTATATACGTTCTTCTGCACTATCAAATTGTTTGGTGAAAAATTGATTGGTGATTGCTCTCAATCTTTTCAGACGTGTCTCGTGGTTAAGGCAGCCTGGATCACTATTAATATAAAAACAAAAAATATGGGGTATCCATCCATGACACAAAATCAGTACATGCACAGCAAAAAAACACAAAAGCAAAGGAACAACGCTTTTATTGTTTTTCTTCATCTCAAAGTGACATTAAGGCCTTCAACACGGAGCAAAAAAAATCTCACCTTTGCTTATCGAAATGATTTGCAATAAAAACACTACATTTTGCATGCAGTTAACAATAAGGAACTTCATTGAATGGCATTGTCTCGCAGAATAACGTCATGGAAACTCACAAGGCTCACATTTGTTTCCAAATGGTGATGTTTATTTCAAGTCATATTGACATTGAAAATTTTACCTTGAAACACAGAGGAAAAGTGCATAAAAAATGATTGCAAACAACTTGCATATAACCCCGTCCAACCTTTCCAAACTCACCATACACCAATAAAAAAAAATTGCAACCTGGATGAAAATTAAACTGAGGTACACAATAAATAAAAAAAAACCATTGATACTTATTATATAAAAACAACATGAGTACATACCTTCGTGGGTATTTCATACATTCGTGGTTTTTGTTATGCCATCACTATATGAAGTAAGCAGATAATATCATGTAATTGGCTTTGGGGGATATATCGTAATTAATATTACATTGATAGAAATCCGGAAGATCTAAGGCAATAAATACTGAGCATCAAAATCCACGCATGTAACTGTTAATTGACTAGGGGGATATATATTCTTTTTTACAATTTACAATTTACAACAACTAAAGAATCAACCACATTTCGAAGAAATTAATTTTCTAATTAACTTTAATATTTTAAAACTTTCTTTAATATTAGGTAGGTTTTTTTACCTGTGAAAGTACCTACCACGCGCAGGTTTGAATTTACAACCTCAGTGTTGACAGGCTAGTGGAACGGTAAATGAACTACTAAGACAACCTTGCCACATGAGCCCCTTGGTCATTTCATAGAGATACATGATTCACGGTTTAATAATTAGACGTCCTGGTTAAGTTTTAAAAGGTTCATCTAATACAAAGTGTCAGCAGCATGACTTTAACCAAAACGCTTTAAATCTATATGTTATATATACCAAGTACCAGAAGTCCATTACTAGAAAAATTCTACTACATATACTTTAAGGGCGACAATCAAAACCAATATAACCCTAATAAACGTAGTTAATATAAAAATTAGGAGATGATGAATGGCTACTTAACGTCCAGCGGCAGATTAATATGCATATTCAGAACGAGAAAACAAATGTGGTATGATTGCCAATGAGACAACTATCCACCAGAGTTCAAATGAATTAATTGTAGGCAATTATAGGCAACCGTACAGCCTTCAACAATGAGAAAAATTCATACCGTATAGTTGGCTATAAAAGGCCCCGACATGAAAAATTTGAAACAATTTAAAATAGAAAACTAACGGCCTAATTTATAACAATACAATTTACGAAAACCATCTACGACAGACATGAACTGACGACAACCACTGAACTACGGGCTCCTGACATAGGATAGGGACATAAAGAATGTAGCGTGGTTAAACATGTTTGTGAGCTCTCAACCCTTCCCCTAACCTGTGACAGTGGTGTAACAGCACAACATGAGAACAAACTGTAAAATTCAATTGAAATTAGCGTAACTCAAAAGATTGGTACGAGAAAAAAAGTATAACAAAAATACTGTAGTTTTAAATTAATATGTTCAAGTATATATATATATAACTGCCATTTGATGATCGATTGTTTCTTTGTCACAATTGCTGGCTCACCAGAACGAAGTTAATGTTGTTTAATATCACATTCAAGAGATACTATATTTCAAAGTATCAGTCTGTTCATAAAATAAATTCTTTTTACTCCATGCTAGAAGTGTAAAATTTCCCAGTCTATGTTATCTTGTTAAATCTAATAGTTTTCACATAAGGCTTTAAAATAGCCCATCCGAGTTCATGAATAATGTTGCAATGGTCTTTCTATATTCATTGATCATTCATAAATGCTTAAAGAAAGAAAGAAACACGTGTGGTCTTTATCCATTTCATTATTATCTTTCATTTCCCGATCACTTTATAATATTGTATTTTTTCGTATTTTGTATTAAATTTTCATATTGTAAGGGAGCTACCATTTGATTTTTAGGGGGGAGGGGCTAGGATGAAATTTGAAAAAAATTAGCAGGACAGGAGTTTTGAGGATGAGACACTTTGCAAAAATAAAAGGCAGGATGATAATTTATGTAAAAAAAAAATCAGGATAAACTAAAAACAGGACTAAAGGCAGGACCGAATAGAGTGAAAAATAAAAAGGCAGGACAGAAATTACAACTAAAAAAATGCAGGCCACAATTTTTCATCCTAACCCCCCCCCCCCCCCTAAAAATCAAATGGCATCTCCCTAAGAAGAATATATCTAAATACAGCTAGAAAAACACCACTACAGAAGAAAAGTGGCTGCTCGGCAAGAATAAAATACAACATATAAATGATAAATATGTTCCATCTAAAACATTAAGACAAAAAAGCTAAATATGCAGTGGTAAACACAAGAAATAAAAAGACTGTTAAGAAAATAGATAGAACATAAAGAAAGTCAAATCAAACAAAACCAGAACATAAACCAAATACTGTTAAAACACACATATCTTTGAAACATCTAGTACAGCAAAGCTCAAACAATCTTATTGGAACTATAGAGAAAATAGTATTATATAAGACAAAGTAAACTAAATAAAGCAAACGTAAAATATTGTCAAATATTGAAAAAAATGAGTCAAGACGAGGATATAAAGTAACTTTGAAGTGTAGCAAAAATAAATTTGTCATTCAAAAAAACAACAACAGAAAAGTGAACATATAGGTGTCGTTCCACTGTTTCAGTCTCATCTTCGCTATCCAAGGGGTACGATCCCTTACAACTGGCTCTGGAGAGGAGGGGATCGTAACCCTTGGCTAGTGAAGATGTTTCAGCCTTAACCATACCAAAACATATAAAAATATCATACATTTTTGAACTTATACCTAACCATTGCAGTCGAGCCAGGCAAGATATCACCACATTATTTGAAAAAATACTCCATAAAATTTCGCCCATATTTTTTTTTTTTTATCTGACTTGTTTAAATCATCAGGCAATATTTCCTGTAACATATGGAGTACCTCAAGGCACAGTGCTTGGACCTATCTTATTCTTAATATATAAATATGATTTGGAAGAATATATCAAATATAGTGCATGAAGATTATTCGCAGATGATAGCATTATTTATAGGAAATTGAGAAATCGGATGACACATATAAATTACAGTCTGATTTAGAAGCGGCATGCAGATGTGAGCGGGACTGGCTCATGCATGTTCATCCTGATAAATGCAACATTCCCTGTGTAACACAAAAACGAAAACCTTTAGACTTCACTTACAAATAACGTAATCACTCACTCGAAAAACTTGATTCTACAAAATATATAGGCCTAACTCTCCAATCTAACTTAAAATGGGATAAACATATAGATACCATGACATCAAAAGCAAATCAGTCTGACTCTTGGATTTATTCGCAGGAACCTTAAAATAGCCTATGAGACCTAAAGTTAAAGCTCATGCTTTCAAAGCTCTTGTCCGAACAAAATTATATATATATATATAGAGTACTGTTCAACCATTTTGGATCCACGTCAAAAACAACAAATTTCACAAATTGAATGGTACAGAGAAGATCAGCCCGCTTCACATGCAACCGCTTCCACAACACCATGCAGCTCAGTTACTGATATGATGACAGACCTAAATTGGTAACCACTTGAAATAGGCGATTGAGATACAGACTTGTTTTCCTTTACAAAATTATACATGACATTGTTGCAGTCCCTACATTTAACCTTTTGATCCCACTAGACCATAGAACCAGACATAGCAATCCACTCTCATTTAAGGCAAATACAAACATCTAAAGACAGTTATAAATATTCAATTTATCAGGCAATATTTCCTGTAACATCTGGATTACCTCAAGGCACAGTGCTTGGACCTATCTTATTCTTAATATATATAAATGATGACAGTTATAAATATTCATTTTCTCCACGTACAGTTATAGATTGGAACCAATTGCCACAACAAATAGTTTCATGCAATACAGTACATGATTTTAAGAGTATGATACCAGAATCTGCTCTAATCCCTATTGTCTATCCTTAACTGTTAAGGTTATCAAGTGTATATAGTTTTATCTAAATGTTATTTTTCAAATGTACATATATTATTTTGATTTTTGATTTTGTTTTTTTTGGTTTATCTTGTAAAGTAGCTGAATCAAATTTTATAGTCGACACCCGGAAAATAATCTTCAATCAATGAATGATCGCTAGAAACTTAAATAAGAAGATGAATATACAGGCACGGTACCAAAATGACCGGAGAGGGGCCATTGTTGTCATTGTTCAACCAGTATTCACAAAGAGAGCAAATTTAAACCAGACAAATATATATGCCAATTTCCTTCGTCTGTATTCTCTGGTCTCTTTATAACATATATATAAATGTTTCATCTGTATAAACGAAACTCCTAGACAATCACAGTTTACTATACCCACTAATGCTTGGTTTCAGTTCAAAAGTCAGTAGGCTGTCAAACACAACTACTCGCATTCACACATATCTTTTTAAAAGGTTATATTGCAAATGGTGGCTGAAATGGTTGACAAACTGATTTAGTCGTGATGGATTTTTCGGAGGCTTTCAATAAAGTGCACAATTAAAGACTTGTTCTAAGATAGTTAAGTGTTGTCTATGACCCCTTGCAGAAACCACAAATATAATAATCGAAGTGATTCAGAGTAGTGCCAGCTACTTAGCTAGACATACTTTAAATCGATACAGCTATCAAGGAAATGAAAGTGCCATGCTTGAAAACTGGCCAACTATTCAACTAAGACAAAATCTAACAAATCTTTTTTCAAGGCCCTAGAGCAATAAGGTTCTGGAATTCTTCACAGCCCTGACTTGGATTCCTTCAAGCAAAGGTACATGAGCCAGTATGGCTTTTATATCTATGCTTCAAGGATCGTACAATCACGGTAATCAATTACTAAAAATACCCTCCCCCCCCACAAAAAAAAATGCTTTGATATTTGATTGTAAAATATGTTCAGATTTTAGTTTGCCTAGCATGTGCCTCCTTATAATTTTCAACACATTGAAGTTAAAAGTATTCTGAAGACGATGTATTTGGTTTTTCTTTCTCAGTTTTATTGAAGTTAAAAGTATTCTGAAGACGATGTATTTGGTTTTTCTTTCTCAGTTTTACTGTACGTTTTTGTTCATTTTATATTTTAATGCCACAACCGGTACTGAGTTGTATCAAATCTCCTATGTTGAGGATAACTTTAGTCCTTGTGCAAAATCAACAAAGAGCCAAAACGTCTATACACGTTAAATAATCCACTACCATCTGGGATTAAAACCATACTTTTAAGAAAAATCAATACAAAGGTGAAATAGAGTGATAGTTCAAATGTTTAATTTTAATCATGTTGATTATAAAATTATGCATTTTATATAGTCGGTTTATTGAATGAATGATATATCCGGTGAAGCATTTTTCACTATGGATGCTTGTTACTTCCCTATAACGTTTTATGATGACCAAGACAGGTTAAGTACTAGAGATTGAGGTCTTTGTGCCAGTGATTAACGTTTATCCCATGAACATATTTTCAATACCGCCACAGTACCCAAATTAAATTGCACCAAATACCCAATTTCCACCCATTTCATTTTCAAGCATTTGGCAAATAATATGAGGCAGGCGTTACCTGTGAAAGGGGACGAAGTCTGTATGAATTATTTTTTTTTTAATTCAAACATATTTTAACTTCAAAATCTGTTCAAAAAAGAAACGGAAATACCCTTACGTTTCCGATTTCGGTTCTGTTCACTGTTGTTCGGAATTTTAGTTGTGACGTTATTTATGTTATGACGTCATATTCAATGTAAACAAAGGATCGCTATCAGGTAACGTTTTTTCATATCAAGCCATTCAAGGAATTATTGAAAATGGAATTGGTATTGCGTTCCTTCCTATATTTATAGGTTACAATACACCATTAGATTTTATGGGCGCAGCCATTTTATGAGCTGAGCATAACATGGTATTCAGAATTAAGAGTATAGCTAATCCTGATTGGTTGATATGTGCGCCCGTTATTTTTTGTTATTAGAGACTTCGTGCATTCTGCATTATACCAAAGGCCAAATAAATTATTTTCCTTAGCCCTAACGGAACTGAGATGTCTTTTAAACGCTAGGATGAGACACATATTTTTAAGTGCAATATGGATAGGCATGGGAGAAGTACAAATTACGCTAAGAAAAGCAACGCGAACCTATATTTTTTGGACCAAAACATACTGTCCTAATAACTTTTCTTTAATTCTAGCAAGGTTTCGTTAAAAAAATCAACTTTCTGAAGTCTGTATCTCGAAAAAGGCTATCATTGTCGCCTATGGGGAAATTAATTGTTTATTTCAATCTTAAAGACTCATGCAAACGAGACCGGAAAAAGGAAGTAGATTTCTGCGCAAATGCGGGAAAATAAAAAAGTTAACGATTTTGAGTTCATTAGTAGAATGAAAATTTCGGTCAATTTTCCCGATTTTTTTTTTTTTTTTTTTTTATTGATTTTTCTACAGTAATCACGCTAGAAAATTGACTCCTCAATACATATCTTTATGTCTCTATATCCCATGAGCCCCCCTCCTCAAACCACCTGAATGACCCAAATGCATCCTAAATTCTATCGTAAAATCGAAATATCATGTATTAGTCTAACCAGAAAAATCATAGTACTGAAGTACTTAACATCCGATGACTGCAAGTTCTTGTGGATGGTCTAAAGCACTTGTCACAGAAAAAAATCACATTTCTATACCTGAAACTGAGGTTAATGTACAGAGATATTTTTTTTTCTGAGACAAGTTCGTGCGTGGATGATGAATTAATGACAGGAAATTCAACCTCACCGTAATAACTATTATATTGTAGTGATACAAATCAGTATACACTGGTTTGTTGTTATATATTATATTAATATAACAGTTACATGTATATATAATTTTCATCCATTTGTATATATCATTCTATTCTACTCTTCTAATAATAGTGCAGTGCAAGTGCATGGTTGACACTCTTCTGTAAAAAATCGATGTTTCTAAAAGATTGGATATGAGTAGGAATTCATATTGTTCCGCGAAAACAATCTTCCATGCAGAGTAACCGGTCCTTGCCGGGATTGTAGCAAAACTTTCTTGAGATATTCTTCCGCATGCTTTAACACAATTTTTTGGTACGTGTGCATACATGTAAATATTATCAATGATTTTTTACTCATATATATATATATATCTAACGACAAAACATTTTCATATTATTAATTTATGTTCTAAACAAAAATATTTTTATCAGTATTCATTGAAGCTGGGAACAGTATATCTAACGGGAAATGAATCTTATACGCTTTTCAGTATAAAATTGATAAAATCATGGACTCCGCGAGAATTCCCGAGATTTACGGATTTTGGTAGCGTCTGACTGAAAAACTATCAGAACTGCTCAACAAATACATGTAAAAACAAGGAATTATTTGAATCTGGAATAATTTTGAATTCTGGAAAATTGATTAGAAATGTATGATGAAAACTAATCCAACTAAATAGGGTTAGCCATGCATGCATGGCTAAGGTTAATTTTACTTTCACTATCATTACAGTATGAACTAACTAACCCACCTTAGCCATGCGCGCATGGCTAACCCTATTTAGTTGGGTTAGTTTTCATCATATATTTCTCATCAATTTTCCAGAATTCAAAATTGTTCCAGATTCAAATAATTCCTTGTTTAAACCACATAACTCTAATTGTAAATAATTACAAGTTTTATCATTTAGTAGATATATTTCGTCATATAAAATTTCCAAAATAAGTTTGATTTATTTGATGTGAAGTGTTTTATAATAGTTTGGGAATTTGTAAATCATCGCGGCAATGGCGGACATTTTTTTATTACCTTGTTTGCATTCTGCACAATTCTGTGATGAAATGCTTGCAATTTTAACAAATTTGAAGTGACAGAATACAAGTTTGATACACTAGCATCACTATAAAACTAGTTTGAATGACATTTTATTGATAATATCAGAAACTATTAGGATAATAGCGAGTCCGTTTTTAACACATGTCCGTTTCTGTATCGTATCTTTATTAACTACGGCACGACAATAAAATCGACTACAATCAGGTAGTGTCAAGTCCCTTCAATATATATGTTCCTGATTGAAGAGATGTATTTATAACAAACGATAAGGAATGTTATTTTGCACTCGTTAATATCCACGTATTTACCATGTTTATAGCTCGGTTACAAACCCAAAACAAAGTGACGTAACGGAAATGTAGGCGATAGCAATACATGGGAGTGCCCTCACGGTCATCGCGATGTAAAAACAGTTTCTTAGAAAGCAGTCAGTCGAAAAAAAACAAAAATGATCAGTAATGAGCTGACAGAGGAATAAATTTCGATAGAGAACATTTTGATACTTTATAATCATAATGAAACAATGTTTTCAAGACAAAAGTAATAAAAATGCTTTGTTGGAAGTGTTTACGATGGTTTAAACATGTCTCAGTTTTATGCACAATATATTGTTAAACAGGGCCCCAGTTAGCTTCAAGTTCAACTGGTTTGTGACGTTTGAAAAAGTTGTGTAATTTCAGAACTTATCAAGATTGGAATAAATAGCGATAAGGTCTACACTGGCCAGAGAATTTGCAACACTTGAACTATTGACCATGTTGACGTTGTACAACAATCTCTTTTCCTTGTGTCTTCAAGACATTTTTTCTTTGTCAAAATTTTGTGGGAACTTCTGTTATGTCCAGTAATGACGGACAAATAGCGATAAGGTGAATAAAGAATTTGTTCAAATAATAATGAGATATTGAAAGGCTATTTTTAATTTTTTGCTGTGAAGCCTTCCTACGACATATTTTATCCAAATACAATGTTTTGATTACCTCCCTTACACTGCTTTTGAATTATGTTTAAAGAAATGCATATTTATAAAAATATCTGCAAATGTTGCAACTTTTTTTTTTACAAAAAGATCCATATGAAGTTATGAACATGATGAAAGATTTGAAACCATATTATAAATTCTATTATAAAATAGTTTAAGTTAGCACTATGGTAAATTTGAATGGGTAATTATGGGTGCAAACTCCATTGGAAATTTGAATTGAGATTACGACCATATCTTGAGAAAAGAATTTTTTAAGGATAAAAGGGGGGGGGGAGAAATTGTGGGGGGTAAATTTTTTCTCATTTCAGATTTCAGAAATTAAAAAGAAAAATTCTTCAAATATTATTTTTTTTGCAAAATAAAAGTGGGGGTTGGATGGGGTTAATACGCAACAGCATAGTGAATTGCACAAAAGTAAAAAAAAAAGGGGACGTAAATTTTTTATTTTTTTTTGTGGGGTGAGGGGGGGTCAATTCGCAACAGAAAAGTGTATTGCACAAAAGCAAAAAATTGAATATAAATTCAAATCATATAACCAATTCTAAGTTCTTTGTCTACAGTTATTCTGTGTCAGAAACCTTTTATGTGTCAAATATTTAATTACAATCCAAATTCAGACCTGTATCAAGCGCGAATATTGCGTCCATTTTTGCCACAACTGTTCAGGGTTGGACCTCTGCGGTCGTATCCAGCTGCGCTCGGCGAAGCAATTTATTAGAAGTTACTATTTTAAAAATGTTTAATAAAGGTAATTTAATTATAGCCATGATTATGTATGTGAAGGAATTTTATTTTTAGATATTACTATTTTATGTTGCTGATGGAGGCTTTTTGATTTTAGGCATGATTATGATGTCATTTTCTATTTTAAAAATTATTTAATTTTAGCCATTATTATGTATGTGAAGGAATTTTATTTTTAGATATTACTATTTAATGATGCTGATGAAAGTGTTTTAATTTTAGGCATGATTATGATGTCATTTTCTATTTTAATACTTTTATGATGTATTTAAATGGGTTTTTATGGTTGCAAAGTCCTAGCTGTCAATTTAATTTTAGAAGTTACTTTTAAATGCTGATGAAGAAATTTTATTTTTAGATATTACTATTAAAAGTTGCTGATGAAGGTTTTTTAATTTTAGTTATGACTAGGATGTCATTTTCAATTTTAATACTTTTATGATGTATTTAAATGGGCTTTTATGGTTGAAAAAAAGCATGTTTCTAGTTTCCAGACAGTAACTTGTGATTAAGTGTATGGATCTCTCTAAAATTGTACTACAAGGTTCCATACTACAAAGGAAAGACTGCAATTGAGTTTGATGGTTAATGCTAAAAGGGGGATTCTAAAAGTTTGGGGGGAAGGAGGGGTTTCCAATTTTTAAGCAGTTAAGCTGCTTTATGCGAGCACCC